AGTTGTAGGCTCCCTATCATGTTGGCAGTGAGTAGTATCACAATTAACCATCAATCAATTGTCCCACTACACATTGACCAAGATTAGCTTCTTGAAAGGTATCATGGTTACCCAACAAGTAAAAATTCAATGAAGAATTGTTACCTGAAAACGATATGGTTACCATACAATCTAATTCTTTCATCATCTGTTATCCCATCAAGGTTGAAGCTTAGAAATCGTGTCTACTTCAAATATACCCTTTGATATTTTGGTGTTTGTTTATTGGATTAATGACCAAATAAAAATTGGATAAGCAACAACCCAATCCCACTATGGCCACATATTTTAGTTGTTACCATTCGACCAAACTACGTGGTGAGATAAATTTCTCGTACCTAAGAGTGATGAATCTTTTGTTGATCCACCATAGCCTTATCGTACTTCTCAATATAGCCAACCACTAACATTCTGATTGTCCTAAGAAAAAGACTGTGTTGGTTTAATAGCAAACACACCAATAAGTACGCATGGTGCTTTGGTGATCTCAAGTTCAAGGATCACATGCACCACCCTTTGTTAAAGGATTTCTTCCAGAGGCATTAAGGTTACCATCTGCATGGAATCCTTGTAGGTTAGTCCAATGAACTTGCATTTAACAAGCACCCACACGTTGTACCAGGTTGTAACCAAACAACCTTAACATCTGAGATATGTCACTATCTTTCGGTACAGTCATTCAACACTATGATAGTCTTACTATATTATATGTGCCCTTGATTAGAATAATACTAAGGCTACGAACGTTTCTAAAATAGTCACCATAAATGCTTATAGGGTTCTCACATCAAGATTTAAAACACTTGATTTCCTCGTCACTATTCTACCATTCTAGGGACATATATCACAACATATAATTACATATGAATTACACAATATAGTAAAATTGCCTTTATTAATGAATAAATATGATACATAAGAGTCAATTTATGATAAATTGATTGGCTCTAAGGCACCTACTCTAAAAACTTTTTACAAAGCTTATCAGTTTGAAAATCTGCATCAATATGTTTATCCTAGGTCTAAATTTAGAGCCTTTAATCCTCTAGATTTAGTTTATTCTGATCTTTGGGGAGCATCACCTTTCCCATCACTTAAAGGCTTTGTTGAGCCCTAGTGCATTTTGATGTGCCAACACTAATAAAAAGAATGCTTAAAAGAACTAACAAATGTGTAAAGGTGTGACATAAGTCATAACCAAAATGAAAATGCATTTTCTCCAGGTGGAACAACCATTCACGTAAATGGCACGCCCATTCCAATAAGTTATTTCTAGAAAATAACTCTCAGTCAAGTCGTTCCAAGTTGGAACAACATCATTCCATGATGCCATTCACAATTTTGTCCAAAATGAAGTAAGCGTCTAGTCAAGCTGAAACTCATATCTAAAATGAATGATCAAAGATTCGTCAAGCCGTTCTAAGCATATCTTATATTCAAAGAGATCAACACACATTCGCAGCTGGACATTCTTTGTGATCTAGGGGTGTTTATTTGAGTTTATAAGCTCTAAAAATAAGTTAACCTACTTGTTTATAATTTTTTTGGACATTTTTTTTTTTTTTTTGGCTTATAAGCTACTTTGACCAAGTTTATTACCACATTACCCCTTTTTAATTTTAAAATTCCATCCTATACCTTTATTTTTAATAATAAAATGTACTTATAAGCCACATTTCCAAACATGTAACTGCTTAAATTTTAAATGCTTATAAGCTCAAATTAGCTTATAAGCACTAGTTGCTTATAAGCTAATTTTCATAAGCTCAGCCAAACAAGCTCCTAAAGTAGAAACAAGCAAGTTGAACGACCGTTCATCCAACTTGTTCCACATGAACGATGTTGTTCCATCACATCGTTCATAGTTCTAGAATCTTGACACTCTGTGTGACCTAAAAAGGAACACCCGTTTCATGAGACAAATGTCTGTTCCAAATTTAAGTCAAGATTTTGGACTTAGAAGATTTCGAGCTCAAATCAAGGTTGTGGAAACTTCAAGTCAAATAAGAACAACCTCGATGAATGCTCATTCCCAAAGTTCATCAAGTCGTTCCAAGAAGAAGTGACACCATTCCAAGAAGTCACTCAATGTTTTGGAATTTCTTAACTTTAAGAGATCTAAGGTGGAATGCCCATTCGTGATAGGGGAACGACCATTCCAAGTAGGGGAACGATCATTCCAAACACTAAAATTCAAAGAAAAGTGATTGTTGGTGTCAAGAACACCCATTCCTAATGTTGGAACACCTGTTCCTCTAGGTTCTATAGTTTTTTAGAAAGTTATAGAGTGCATTTGGTGTGCTGTTGCAGTCAACCAAAATTAAAATCTGCACTCCCAAAAAAAAAAAAAAAAATACATGTAGTAGTGCGAGTAAGGATTGTTCCCACCGAAAGTGTCTAGCATAGTTTTATGCTATGGAAAACAAGGATTGGGGGCCGGGGGGGGGGGGGGTGATTTGAG